CTATTTTTCTTGCTGACAAATTTTGCAAGGGATAACATGAACTCATTCGACCTTTAGTCAGCCTAGGTAGAATAAAACTATCATATTTAATGCTGATAACTCTAAAGACATGTCTATTTTAATTAAAGCAACAAACTTAAACTAGCTTCGATACCAAATATTTCCCCAGATCATGTGAAACTGAAAAGCATTTGGTTAGTTTCTATTATATTTTTGAGAATTTTTATGAATACTAAGTTTATATAAATGCTTGTGTGTTTAAGCCAACTAAATAGACTCTTTTACAAATTAGTTTTAGTAATACCATCCGGAGGTAGGAAATGCCACACATCTACAACATACATACATAGATACAAATAAATGTACAGATAGACACAAACAAAGACCTTATAAGTTCCTTTAAAAATTTTAGCCACAAAACAAGTATGATAATGGAAAATTCACTAGTTATAAAAGAACAGTTGGAATAAGTTAAGTATCTGCTTACATGGCTAAAGCTTTTTCTACTAATATTTGTGGAGGAGACACATGATTTTTATTCACCTAAGTTTCAAATGACCTTTCTCCCTTTTGTTCTCCTTCTGATAAGAATTACCTCCCTGAAGTTTGTGCTTTAAAGAGATGGCCAAGATCAGCGTTCCTGGAGGGGTCAAGGAGAACATCTACATCTCAAGGGCACGGGGAAGAATGCAAGTTCTTCCAAGAAAGACATTGGTTTCTTAAGGCCAGAATTTTCACAGTACCTACAAGCCTTTTGAGATAAATAGGGGAGGTTTTGGGATTGGTAAAAAGGATAGATGGAATTTAAACTGCCTCTAGAGCTGCATTTCTGGTTTTGCAAAGATTTGTAAGATAAGGACAGTCAATTTTAATTCCTCAAGGAAGTTAGGTTACAACTTAAATGACATCATAGGTTGATCCACCCAGCAATCCTTTTACAAGGGCTTTAGGAGGTTTTTCTCTTATTCTGGGTACATTTAACTTAGGGGCGGGTAGGCCTAAAAGAATTCCTATCAAGCTCTGAATATCAGCTTCCAATTTGGCCAAATTTCTGATCATAGAGTTATTAAATCCTTTCAAATATCTTGTCAGGTTTTAGCTGGAACAAGCAGTGAATATTTCTGGCAATACTGAACAACCTCTTGGACTTAAGAGGTGTCCCCAGAGAGGGTGCAAAAAATATTTTATTTTCCTCTCTCTATCGGGTACTACCGACAGAGATCTGGGAAAGCAATCTGGTCAGAATCCTCAACCTTAGCCTGCTTCTGCCAGTTTTTTCCAGATCCTGTCTACAGGTCCTGAGTGGGGTTTAAAGTGGAGGGTATAGCTCTGATATTTACTAAACTTTGGCTGGGTTTCTTCATTAATTTTAGTTTCCCCTTGGCTGTTTAGGGGAATAATGTAGCAGATTACCAGAAAACCCCTCTGAGTGTCATCAAGTCTGGGAGGGGCTCATATGGGGGCCCTCCTTAGAAGGTAGATATGAGGCTGTCTGTAAGGCTGTTAAGTTGGCAGACTTTTGTCTACAGTCTTGGAGTGTCTGTTTTAGGTACCGTTTGTGTCTTTCAATTTTTCATTAGCTTTTTGCAATGAAACTTTCAATGAAGCTATTCTTGGAATTTTGAAGCCTTTTGGAAACTTCTGCATACCAATTAAAACACGTGTCCTATTCCGTTTAACTTGAGATCTCTTTCAAGTGCCCTTCTTAAATGATCTTATCTAATTGGAACATTCCTTCTAATGGCCATTATAATTCTAGGTTGTTTTTAGTAAGATTTTGCCATTTTTGTAGTTATTTACAGCTACCGGGACTATAGTTCTTAGGCATCAAATAAGCAGGTGTGCCAGAAGGTGGCATGCTCAACTCATTGGAATTTAAAGATCCTATTTTATTGTTTATTTATTTACTTTTAGCTAAGACTTTAGGTTTCTTAGAGCCAAACTAATACCTAAGAGGGATGAGCTGCTGGGCTGGAGATGGTGTGGTGTTTTAGAGTACTTCATTGCGTGGACATTTTCTTGGGGTTGGTGGGTGGCCTGGTGTCAATCTGACCCATTCCATGACCAACTTATCCTAACATGGGGGAGTTTTGGGTCAGGTGGTTAGCACTCTAACAGCTCTTAAATGCTCAACTTGGGCCCACCAATTTTTGTGGCTTTTTTTTACTTCCGAGATTCCCATTAGTAATTAGCCTTTTTCTACGCAAAACAAGACAAACAAACATGTGCACCCTAAAATATTAGCGGTAACCAAGAGATGTTACTGTGTCCTGGCCAAGAGAAGAAGGCCTTGTGCACACCACCGCCAATTCCCATGGAACCTCAGACTAGGGAGAGGACTGAACGAGGAGATCCCAAAGAATGGGGATGGTGGACTGATTCCACACAAATGGAGAGCTGCAGACTGAACTATCAGCAATTCCTCAATGTGGAACCTGGGGACAGAATTGAGGGCTGGGGCTTTCCACTCAAAAATCTGAGAATTGCAGTCTGAAAGGCTAGGGGCTTGGCTCCAGGCAGAACCATCTACCAGCTCCACTGGGCTCTGGGCCGAACTGTCTGCCAGCTCAAGCTGACCTGCCCTGTCTTGGAAAGCCAATTAGATCAGGAGGTGGATGCAAAGAAAACGGAGCTCAAAATGGAGAGGAATTCACCCACGGCCCTTGGAAACAGCGAGAAACGCAGAGAACACAAAGGGTTTGTGGGGTCCCACTCCTGTGTTTCTCGTTGTCCCCAAATGCCATCAGGAGTTCACTTCAGGTCCCAATGCTGCCACCAAGTGTGTTAAATAACAAAAATTCGACTGAGTAAATTTGAAGATCTAATTGGTTTTGTTCAGTGATTCACGAACCAGGCAGCATCCCATCTAGAAATAGAAGGGAGCTCCAAGGAGCTGTACAAAAGGGAAGGCTTTTACATGCAGAAGGGGGAGGGGGTAAGGAAAGAGGGGATCCCCTCATTTTCCTTTGTGGGATGGAAAAGGTCTGTGTGGCACATTACCTCACTGGTGCTGACCAGAAAATTCCAGGCTTACTGGTCAAGACTACATTCCCGGGAGCGGCTGAAACGGCCGTTAGGTTGGGTAGTAAGTCTTGGTTTGCTGACGTGGGGCTTAGCACAAGGGACTCCATTTTGGGCCTGTCATTTCTTTTTAATAGTATGTATCAAGTCACATTAAAATACAATAAAGAAAAAATTTACCTATAAGGCCAGATACTCAGGGGTAACCAGGTCTATCAGATGCTTATGTAGGTATCTACACACATTATATGACCCTTTATAAAATATAGTGTTATGTGCTAATGTGATGTGGGATATGCATCATCTTCAGCAAATCCCTCCTCAGATTGCTTTTTGTGCTTGACTCTAGAGTGTATCTTAAAGCTCTTTCTTTATCATTTTATGGAGAACCATCTTGCCCTTTTTGTCCAATGCTCAGCATTACATAAGATGAAGGAACCGTAGTTTCTTAACCATTCTCCTGTTCAGGGCTATTAGGGAGGTCCCCAGGTTTTTACTCTTATTGACAACGCTGCAGTCAACATCTTTGTCTGTGCTTTCTTATACGCAAGTGTTTTCTTGGTGTACTTCCAGAAGCGGAATTGCACACTTAATTGTAATGATAGTGCCAGATTGCTCTCTAAAAGAGGGTCCATCTTCTGACCCAGGGCCCCACTCTGCCCCTGGAGCGAGGGGAAACACTGCATCACATCGGTGGACAGACACCCCGTCTGTCTGGGGGTGTGTTCTCTGCTGTGAGAAATAGGAGTCATTTCCGTAGTCACACCCTTCCTCGAACTGTTAGCAGGTGCCGGGTCTCTGTTTAGCACTTGCCATTTGTCTCTTGGAGCCCTCATCTATAAAATGGGGATAATGGCGGTGAGGGTCACTATCTCATTTGGCAGGAGGTAGTTCCGTATTGTGGTGGAACCCTTGGACTGTGAAGGCAGATCGTCTATGTGGGAAGCAGGCTGAGCTAAGAAATGCCTTCACTTCCTTGAGCCTAAGTTTCCTGCACTTCATAAAATGAGGATGGTGAGAATAGTACCACCTTACAGGGCTGTGCTGTGAGGAAGAAAGAAAGATTATGCCTGTAAAGAGGCACATGGTGAATACTCAGTAAAAGCTTCACTCCTCCTGACTCCCCACCACGGAGGCATCATGGCCACCAATTTACAAGTGAGAAAGCCAAGGTCCGGAGAGGTCCAGTAACTTAGGTGCCCAAGGCCACCTAAGTGGTGGAGCTAGGATTTGAACCCAGGCCCAAGTCTAGGGGCCAAGCTCTTCCTTACTCCTGCCCCCTTTTCGGGGCCCTCCCGGGCTGCTAGGCTGCTAACCTGTCCCTCTCTGAAGCTCCTGCCCCTAGAGATCCTGACACCCCAGCGGTTTCTGTTGTCTTGGTGTGAGGTCAGGGCCTGCCCTCTGGTGGCAGCTTCCAGAAGTGCCAGAGTTAGAGGCGTCTGGCCTTTCTGAAGAAGGGGCTTGGAGATGTGACTGTGAGATGGGCCCCTCACTGTCTTCTCCTCCCTCCCCAAAGCAGCCTAACAGCTCAGTGTTAAAAGTGACAGGAGGGAGCCCCAGTTTGCCTTCCTGCAGCGTCTGGGGGTCTCCATCCCTCACTGGGAGCTCAAGATGAGTGAGCCGCAGAGCTCAGTTCTGAGCCAAAGACCTCTGGAGCGAAAGTAAAAGATAAACTGAATTGCTGTCATTTCCAGCATTTTACTCTGTGCCAAACACCGTGCAGAGTCCTTGGCTGGCGTTCTTTGTGTCTTTTTGACCCCTCCAAATCACCCTGTGAAGTAGGCTATTACGCCCATTTTATATGAGGAAATGGGGGCTCAGAGAGGTCAGATGGCCCACGCAAGGCGTCCAGCTAGTCAGAGGCCTGCTTGGGATTCCAGAGCCTGTGCAGCCAGCCCCTCTGCCCACATTTACCCTGAAGAGTGGCCGAAGGGACCCCCAATGCCCTCTGACTTTCTCCAATTCTCTCTCTCTCTTAGATTTTGTGGGCTCCACAGTAAGCTCCGTGTTGCGGCCAGGGGGTGATGTCTCCGGATGGGGAGTCCTCCCCTGTCCCGTCGCTCACTCACAGGGACCCTGAAGGCCAGGATCACAGCCCAGGAATTGACCTGCCCTCAGCTTGTCCTGCCGCCTGCCCCGTCATCCCTCCATTCAAGCTCCGAGGGAAGACCCTGATCTCGGATGACTTCTCACCTGCTACCTGCCTGTGAGCTCCAGGCTTTGAAGAGATGGGGCTGGGATGCAGCCTGGGGGAGGGGAGAGCCCTGCAGACCCTGGGAGGGCCTGGTTCTGCTGGTCCCTCAACTGACCTAGGGGAGCCTGACCCCCGTCCCTTGGGCGTCTCCTCCCTCTCTAGCCTGGCCTGGGGGCCCTGCAGAGTCTCCAGGGGAAGCAGGTACTGTGGTCCCATTCTCAGGCTCCCTCAGTCTGGAGGGCTGCTGCCTGGCTGCATCCTCACCTCTGGTCCCTGCCTCCTGCAGAAACTTATTCAAGACACTGCCCCAGGGCAGATCAGACTCTTTCCTACTTTATTTATTTATTTTTTGCCAACGATGGTTCCATCACATAGTCACAGAGCTCCAGGAGCCACCAGCCTCCCTGGGGCCTCTCTGTCCCCACTCCAGCTTGCTCCCAGCTCTCCCAAAGGAGTCTGAACTGCACCGAGGGAGAAAACACAGGGCCTCTCTGTCAACTGCTGGAGGGGGCCCTGTTCAGCCCAGAGTCTGGAAAGGACAGACAGACTCTGGAGGCAGCAGGAGGAAGCACTCTGGCTCCTGTGTTGGTGGCACCTGACCATGGCAGCGGGGGCTGGAAGAGGCTGGGGGGCTGGCCTGGTCTCCTCCCTGCTGGGATGTCTCACCAGTGACTGGACCCTTGACCCCGGCCTGTTTTGTACAGCACAGACTTCTTGGCCCTGTTGTCAGGGTTGGGGGTTGGGGAGGGGAGCCCGAGAGTGGGCAATTAGGGGACGCATCCCCCCTCTGCCCCTTCTCATGCCCCCCTACCCCGGGCATCTAACAAGGGCAGAGACTGTCTTGCCTCTTTGATACTTTTCTGCATAACTTGAACTTGCAGGTCACCTCTGAACAGGGTACCCCTGTCCCCATCCCTGGGCCTTGTAACCCTGTCCCCACCTCCTCCTCCTCCTTGCCCACCTCTCGCCTTGCGATATGCCCAGGGTCTGCAGCCCAACGGGCAGTGCTTGGAGCCGAGGCATGAGTGTGTGCGTGCGTGTGTGAGCGGGTGTGTGTGCGCGTGTGTGTGTATGGGGGCAGATGAGGAGTCTTCTCTCCCCCCTCCTCCCACTGGGGGGCATCTCCTTCCCCCTCGGCAGGGAGCAAGTGAGGGAAACTCCAAGTGTTTCTGAACCCTCGCACTGCCTCGTGGACCTGGCGGTACAGCCATCTGGCCTGGGGTGTGGACAACCCCTTTTGGCCCGTTTGGGCAGCAGGTTGGCTTCATCTCGTGTGCCTACTTCTGTCTTTGGTACCTGCTGCCTGGTCCCGTGGAGGGGTGTGAGGCTCCTGCAGGATCAATGGGGAAGTGTGTTGTCACCACTTCCTTATGTCGGCCTCAGTCAAAGGAAGGGAGAAAAGCAGAGAGTGCCATGTATTTGCCAACCCTGTGTTCATTTCTATAGGCCTTGGACCTGAGACTTACGGTTCCCAAGACAGATCCTAGAAATCCTCTGCCTGAATCCCCCATCTGGACCCTAACTGGAATCAGAAGCTGGGTCTTGGTAGGATCCTGAAACCTGGAAATTACCAAGTCCTGACCCCACCCTTGACTCTCTCCTCTTGGGCAAACACCTTCCCAGCAGTGCTCTGGCCCGGCACTGTGCTGCCCTCTCTCCTGCTCCCAAGCCCCACACTGCAGCCCCATGACTGGCGCCTTCCCCAGCAGCTGCCCGGGGGGTGGGCTGCACACCAGGGTCCCAGGCCGAATGGGAGGGTGAGGGCAGCCTTGTGGGAGGGAGTGGGGGGCACAAGTGATTTCCTCAAAGATCCAAACCAAAGCCCAATGTTGGAAGGCTGCAGGGGGAGGGGCTGGGAGCAAGTGATCAGGAATGGGGAGAAGGCAGAGGTAGGAGAAAGAGGGTGAAGAGGGAGGTGCAGAGACAGGGAGAGTAAGAGACGGAGAGGAGAGGGCCGAGACAGCACGGAGGAGGAGGAGGGGCACCGAGAGAGACACAGAAATGGAGAGAGATGAAGAGTGAACAGAGGGGACTGAGACGGACAGAGAACTTGGGATGGGGGAGGGGAGGTGGCTGGCAAGATGGAAGAAGGAATAGGACAAGGAAGGAGGCAAATGGAGAGAGACGGGCTGTGGGAGGCCAAACTGGGATGCAGGGGTCAAAAGAAAGGGGAAGGAGAGGATAGAGACGGGACCCGAGGCATCGGGGGGGCAGCTGCTGTGTGTGCAATGTGCAAGGGGAGAGCTTGTCACCCAAGGATGCCTACCACCCAAGGGAGCCGCCAGATCCCTGTGCCCTGGTGGAGAGGTTAGACCCTACCCCCCTCAGAGGCCGAGGCCCACGTGCGGGGCCCAGGCAGCCAACCCCCAACCCCTTGTGGAGGGGGCGCCACATCAGGGGAACTGAGCCCAAGTGATTGCTGAGAGGGTCAGCACAACTGGAGTGGGTTAGTGGTCGAGAAGAGGGAGGTTAATTCCCTTTGGGGCAGACTGACAGTGTTTCCATGTCACCACTCACCCAGCCAGCTGCTGCCCTGGCTGAAGAAGGGGCAGCCTGGCGATGCCAGGAGTTTGGGGTCCAGTAAGCAGGGTTGGATGAGCTGAAAGGACGCTAGGGTAACAGAGGGATGGGAAAGAGATTGGAGTGCAGGCCAAACCGCAGCCCTGTCCCTGAGGCTTCAGCAGAGGCAGGAGCAGAGCGCATAACATACTGCAGCCAGGGGCCCCGGCTGAGGCCGAAGCATCACCAAGCCTGAGGCCCAGATGGCAGCCATCATGGCAAGGGACGGTTTGTAGGCAGGTGATTTGGCTCTAGCCTTCGGGACTAGAGACTGAAGACAGATGGTCTGTTCCTTGGTCCTTGAAAGAAGCTGAGCCTTGAGTGGCCCACCGAGGCACTCCTCCCCCAGGTTGACTGGATCAGAGGGCTCTGGCACTATCTGGTTTTCTCTGCCTTGGTCTGGGGACTCTTTCATGACAAGCCAAAGCAGCCACAACCTAGAGGTGGTTTGGAGCACCGGGTGGTCAAGTCTTTCCCGGTCTCCGGGATGTGAGAACTTTCCTCTTTGGGGACGGGTGGCCAGGGAGGAAGACATTGTTTTCCTGAGGGGTGACGACTATGGATAGGATCAAGATCCTTTCCAGGCCTGGACTAGCCAAGATGTTGAAAGCTTTCAGACCAGGCTGTGGAGGAAACCTACTTGGCCTTCTTTTGAGGGCACAGGGGATCACCCTTCTCCAGCTTCCAGCGTGAACTGAGAAAGGGAAACCCTCTCTTTGGAAAAGCTGGGATCTTCCCAGCACAAGAAACTTCTGTAGGCCCCTGCCTGGCTCAGGGCTAGCCTTTGGGTGGGACTGGAGTTTCCTGAGAAGGGAACAAGGGAGCCACAGTCCTTCCCAGAGCTCTGGCCAGCAGACCTCAGAGCACCTGTGCTGTGTGTCATTAGGATAGCTTGGTGGTGTCTACACCCCATCAGTAAGTTCTGTCTGAATGTGTCCTTGCTGCTCATTGTCCAATTTGGTAACATTTATTTTGGTCCTGACCCCTTCTGCTGCTGCTGGATTTGAGCTTCAGTGCAGGTGGAATGACGTTCAAATAAAGAAACACTTTATATCACCCATGCTGGCTTCTTCTCTGAGTTGGCCCCCAGGGGATCCAGAGGGGTGAGATTCAACCTGACCCTTTGTACCAGTTTTGGCTGCATAAACAGAGCTCTACTACTGTGGTTTAACGAGATAGTTTATTTTCCCATCACAGACCATGACCCATACGGCCCAGTGTTTTCAGGAACCCAGCCTCTCTTCTTTCTGCAGTGCCACTTTCAATCCTGGTTTCCATCTTCAAGGACATCTCATGGCTCAAGATGGCTGCTGGGGCTCTAGTCACATGGTCCACATTTTATTTGAAGGAGACTTCTGGAAATCCCATAAGACTGAGTCAAATAGCACACCTAGCTGAACTGTGATCTGTTAACTGAGCACACTGCCACCCCAAATAAAACTGGAGAAAGCAGAGAACAGGTGGAGCGGGCAGCTAGCAGTCTCTGCATACTCCTGATTGCACAGGCTTGACTTTGACTAGAGCAAACGAGGCTCCACCCGTTGCTGCCTCTGGCCTGGGACAAGACCCTTCACCTCTCTCTAAATCTCCTGGAACAAATGGGGATGACAGTAATCTCAGGGAAGCTGTAAGGAACCAAGGAACGAATGTATATGAATTGCTTTGCAGCTTCTGGCACATTGCAACGTGTCCCGTGAGTCAGCTACGTTGATTATAATTTAAGCACTTGGGAATTGAGTCTTCTTTCAACACATTTTGAGCACTTAGTATATGCTAAGCATTTAAAGAACAAAAACAGAGACCTTGTCTTAAGGGTCTGTCTGGTTGGGCAGATGAATATGTAAAAACAAAGTAATGCAAAATTTGCTAGGTGCAGGGTATCGTGGGTGTCCCAGGTAGGGACACCTTACATGGCTTTTGGTGGAGTGGGTAGAGCAGAGGACAGTTTTTCTGAGGGGTGAATAGGAGTCAGGCAGGCAAGAGTCAGGAAAGCCATTCGTGTAAGAGAAGGCAGCTTTAGGAAAGAGACTGAGGTAAGAAACAGCACTGTCCTTTTGGAGAACTAAGAGCAATTTAGTAATGCTGAGCTGTGCAGTCAGGGCGGGTCAGATTAGTCTGGAGGGGCAGGCAAAGGCAGGATGATGAACGAGCTTAGAGGCTGTGTGCAGGAGTCTGGACGTAAGAGCAGCGGGGAACCATGGAAAGTTTTTAAGTAGGAGAAGGACACAGTTAGATTTGCATTCCAGAAAACTCTCTCCGGTTGTGGTGTTAGGGGGCTCAATTAGAGGGAGACAATTTTAATGAAAGGGAAAGCAGAAGTCTGGCCTGAAGCAAGGTGCTGGCAGGGGGTCTAAGAGAGGTAAGAAATTTAATATTTAGGAAGTAGAATTGAGGAGGCTTGGTAACTGATTGTGGGCTGAAGTGATAAAGAGTGGCATCAAGGATAATGGTTAAATATTTTGCTTGGGGACAAGAAAGATTTGTCGGTATAGCAGGGGAGCAAGATGATCAGTTCAATTTGAGAAATGCTAAGTTTAAGATGCATGTGGAACATCCTGGTGGAGTTGTCCAGTGGTCAGTTGACTTATATGGATTTGGGAGCTCCAGAGAAAGATCTGGGCCAGAAACATGAGCATACAGGTACTGGTTAAAATGCAAAGCACAGATGAGCGTGTTCAGGGTGACTGTATGGTGTGAAAAGAGCATGGAATGCTGGAAAACACCAACAGATGAAGGTCAGAGAAATGGACATCCAAAAGGAGAGTACAGTAGAAGAGTCAGAGCTATGAGGAGAACCGTGAATGTGGCGTTACGGAAACCAGGGATTCAGAGTTCAAGGGGAGGGTCAACTAGCCAGATGGAGAAAGGTCCAGAATTAGGGAATGAAAAATGCGTCCACTGGATCTGGGAACAAGGAGGTCACTGTTGGATTTGGTAAGAGCATGTCCAGAGGAGTGTTCAGGGGACAGCCACACCGAGGTCTGTTCAGGGAGAAGATGGGAGGTGACTGAGCGAGGATCACTTCTTTGGAGAAGTGTGAATAAGGAGGAGAAGTGAGTGACTGAAATTCATTCAGGAATTATTAAGTACACAGCGAACCGGCAGCGGACAAGTGTCAGCGTGCAATCTAGAGGAGGATCTGGAAGCTCTCTTTCGTGAAATATGGAAGAGTTCTGACTGTAGGCCATGGCTAGTAAGAGTTTAAGGATAAAGAGAAGATGACAAATGGAAGAGGCGAGGAAGCCTTTTTGGGGTACAGGGAAGTGCAAGGTTTAGGGAGTGCTTGCCTGATAGCATCCATTTTCTCAGTTAAGCAGGAGGCAACATTGCTTACTCAAGGAGAAGGGAACTGAGCTGGGGGTCTGAGAAGAGTGGTGAAAGTTTGGAACAGTTGCTAAAGGAGTTGTCAAAGGATAAATAAAAGAACTGATGGATAATCATGAATTTGTGGTGGCACAGACAGGAGGGCAGGCACAGAGAAGGGAGACTGTGGATTGAGAGGTAGGTGCAAGATAAGCCAAGTGTCCTGAAAGAGTGTTTAGGAGAGCCACCACGAGATCTAGGCTGGGAATTGGAAAGGAGAGCCTGAAATGAGGCGTATATGGAGAAAATGGAAGAACTAAGGGACTAAAATTTACTTGAAAGAGCTGGGAGGATAGTTAGAAAGTGGAGTGACCTGAATATTATGAGTAATTCTTGAAGACTTTGAGATGTGAGGTACCCTGCTTAGGATGTCCACCCAAAGGTGAGGATAATGGCAGAAATTGGGGTGGAGAAGACGAGCCAAAATTGTTCAAGAATCAAAGCAAGTGGTTGGAAGGTCAAAAGATGAAAGCAATGAAGAGGGCTAAAAAGTGCAATAACCAGATGTCATGTGCGTCAGTGGAGAGGGGATTTTTATTTGAGGGACAAAATGTATTTGTCTGGAAACATTTGGGGAGAACATCCATGCAACAGGTTTTGAGAGAAGGAGCAGCCTCACTTAAAAGGGCTGCAAAGGAGGTGGTGACCCAAGGAGAGAACCATATTTCAGTAAAGGCCACTAGACAAGATGGGGGAGGTAGCCGGTGGCCTATCAAAGAAAAGAGGTGACCAGAAAGCAATGGCAGAGGTTGGGAGAGGAGGATGGGACAGAGAACCACGTGGTACAGTAAGAGTAAAGAGCATTAGGAAGCAAGATGACACAGAGAACTCTCCTTTTGGGAGGGGACTAAGGGGAATAGGAACATGAAGTTGGTAGAATTCACCAGACTCAAAGTTTCAAACAGAGCTCTAGTTTGAAACCCCTTTCAGGTCTACTTAGGCAGATCACAAGGACTGGTGATGCCAGCTGTTGGCACCTGAGCAGATCTGGAGGTGCTGGAAAGCCCATTTAGGTGCCAAAGTAGGTGCAGGAACTCAACCTAGGTGGGTTGGAGGCTTCTTCAAGTTCATTCAACAGAAGCTTCATCAAATGCCTGTTCGGTCAGGTACTGCCAGGATGAAATTATCTCAGGCCAATTAGTAGCAGGGTTGTTTGCCTGTTTATAGTGGCAAGATTGTTCTTCGTTTTGTTAAATGTGTTGCAGCATTAAACAAATGTACAGGTAGACGGAAGAATTATTAGAAAGTACCCTTCTAGCCATAACCAAAGATAGGCTCCTGCTAGCCGACCCCAGAAGCGCTTCCCGTGCTCCCAAACACTAAGCCCTTCCTCCCCTCCTGAGAGTAACCACTATTTGATTTTTAGGTTAATCACTTCCCAACTTTTATTTACACTTTTTTTCACCCAAGTGAGCATTTTAAACAAAATAGTTTAGCTTTGACTTTGTTTTTGATGCGTCTTTCCCCGCTTCATGTCTTTTTACCCCTTCTTGCCATTTGTTGAAGAAACCGGACCATTTGTTATGTAGTTTCACAGCTGGAATTTTGCGGGCTTCGTCCTTGTGGTGTAGTTGAACAAGTTCCTCTGTTCTATCTCCAGCAAACTGGTAATTGGATCTAGATGCTTATTCAGTGTCTGTGTTTGCACATTTGAATGACTGCTTCATAGTTGCTTTTGTCATCAAGAAACATGTAATGTCGAATTGTTTTTGTCATTAGGGGTTGCAAAATATTGACGCTCTATCATTCTCTCATCAGTTATTTGTAGGAATGCTTCCATACAGGGAAACATCCTCATTTACGATCTACTTAGCCAGTGCTGGAGTCTTTCCCTTTATTTACCAGTTTTCAAAAATAGAGTTGCTTCCCAAACATCCTCCTGAGACGAACAATTATTGTTTTGATACCACTATGAACTCATAGATTGAAACACAGTTGATCTATTTGGTTCCGTTATATTTATTATTCTAATTAATGCTTAAAATGTCCCATTGCTGGTCAGAAGAGGCCTCCTAAAGTTGGTGTGAGTGTTTTAAACCCAACCTAATTATCTCTGATAGCATCCCTGCTATCTGGTATGACAAGATGGTCCAGACTCATCTTGTACATTTTCTCTCTCAGACCAAAATCAACCATTTCTCTAACAAGCCCTGTTTCTAAGCCTTTCCAGTTGACATGTCTAAGACACAGACACAAAACTTACGTATATATAGATATGGGATCTAGCTATCTAATCCATCTATTGTGATAAAATACCTCATAAGTTAATATGGATACATGGAAGGTTTTTGCTTAACATCTTCTATCTTAACATCTCTAACTCATTTTCCCCTGACACTGAGAACCCTGGTCCTCAAGGACCCTGGATCCATTTGCTTTATCCCACATTAAAGCCCTCAGATATACTGCCACAAATATGATTACTAAAAACATTATTTTCCGAGTATTTTTTGATAGTTGCACTGTATTTACATTGCTTAGGTCACATAAACCATTTTATACTACACTTTCCTTATACCCCTCATTTAGTCTTAGTTCTACATGTAGTTAACTGTAGATAATGAGCTCACTACCAGACTTTATGTTGATGTTTCTCAAGACAGTTTGGTTGTCTGAAGCTCAGTTTCTAAAGAGTCCTAAGAAGGAATTAACAGAAATAAATTTCCCAAGTCCTTGCATGCTGATGAGAGGTTGCTG